ATTTAATTTTATTTTATATTTTATATTTCCTCCGACAAAGAGGTTTAGTAATAAAATTGAACTGAATTATAAATTTATATAAATTTATATAATATATATAAATAATATATATAATATATATAAATTACTATAATCATTTGTGTAACCACACAATACTAGTTTTATTATATTATTTATATGTATGTAAATGTTTCAAAATATTTTATATATTCATAAATGTTTGTGTTTTTAATATTTCTGTATGTTAATAAATTCCAGATTCGACAGAAGAAGCATCAAGCTTGTCCTGGTAGACAATGACCGAGAGAAATTGGACAAAAATGCCATAATTCGCCGTATCAAATCTGTCGTTATTCACGAGAAGTTTCATTCCTACACGTACAATAATGACATCGCTATCATCGAGATGGATCGACCAGTGAATGTGAATGGTATCGTGCGAACTGCCTGTTTGCCTGAAGACAGTATGTATATTTCCATTGTTTGATTAACATTCTAATTGATGACGTTAATTATTAGTTATTATTACAACTGAAATTGGTCACTGTAACTGAATTATTATGTTAAACGTTCAAATATCGAAATTGAATGAAATGATAAGCAGATAAGGGATTACTTGACTTAACGCACAAAATAAAATAACTCTTTTCTAGTGAAATAGAAAATTTAATTTATTTTCCTAGAGCAATTTTGATAGAACGAGCAATACTCTACAATTTTTATATCCTTTGTAAACATAAAATCACGTAAACTGTAAAAAGCTTGTAGAAGTGAGAGATTGCTTGCATTAGCTCTAATTCGTTCTTCCTTTTATTTTCGTTTCACATTTGCTGAATACTTTTATCTGGGATGCCTCTTCTTTTATTTCTGTCTTTCATATCTTTCACTTCTATCTCGCGTAAATATTATACGGTTTTTCGTAATGATATCGCGTGCAGCATCGTGCGATGCTCCGTAAATGTACATTTCGTGCATTTCTGTAGAAGCCATCGACTACACTGGGGCGACAGCCACAGTAATTGGTTGGGGTCGGACAGGAGAGAGTGAACCCGTGAGCAATGAACTGAGAAGAGTGAATCTGCCAATTTTGTCACAGGAAGAATGCGATCAATCGGGTTACCAGACGAATCGAATCAGCGAGAACATGTTCTGCGCTGGATATCTGGAGGGTGATCTCGATGCGTGCTTTGTAAGTCTCTGATCAAATTTGAGATGAACTTTCCGGCTTTTGATAAACTTTCGGCTTGAGATAAACTTTTCATCCGTAAATTTTGTATTACTGTATTCGTAGAGCGAATAATCTTACTAACATTTTGTCATAGGGTGATAGTGGTGGCCCTCTTCATGTGAAAGGAACGTTTGGGCATTTAGAAGTAATAGGTAATAACCATTGATATTATAACATATATGAAATTATATATATTTACAAATATATCGTTATATTGAAGGTAATGGTTAACATTATTTACTATTTATCACTGTTTCTATTATTTATGTATTCATTAAGCGTGTCGAATGTCTAAATTGTTTAAATTAACTATATATTTAAATTATTGTCCAGGTATCATCTCGTGGGGTCGCGGATGTGCAAGGCCAAACTTCCCCGGAATTTACACGAAACTAACAAATTACCTCGGATGGCTTAAAGATCATTTAGGCGGTGAATGCGTGTGTCCACCACCTCATCGATATTAATTTACGACTACTAGAAGAATAGTTATTTAAATTATTAAGTACATTTATTTAAAAAAACACACACACACACACACACATATGCCTTTCGAATGCTATTGTACGATGCTTCTTTAGTTTCATTAAGATATTCGACGAAACAGTACCATCAGTATTAAGACGACGTTGAAGAACATTCAATAACATGTTTGCAAATATTTGCACGTTTGTTCAAATATCGATGCTCACGGTCTGACTGCGGATAGTTTTGACTCCAAATAGTTGTACAATCGTAGTCTATGGTTAATTTATTGCAATTGTTTATTCAATTGCACGTAGCTGAGGTGATCTAGTCCAGTGTACATTGTATGTATATATACCTACACGAAGAAGCTTCAATTTTCTGTGATGTCGCGTTTCCTGTATGAGACAGTTGTTAAATAAAGAATACGTTTGTTAATAGCTTAATTCCGTTTCCGAAGCTTTCCGTTGTAGTGCTATAACAGGAACAATTCAGATTATTATACATTTAAGATATAAAGTGAAATTTTTACCGGAATCAGGTAAAAAAGTTGCGAACTGATAATAAATGTTAGAAATTGACTTGGTGTTAGTTTTTTTCTGAAAATGTTGCTTTAAAGTTCCATTTTTTTATTCCGCTATTAAAAATTTCTCGGAACTTCGTTTTCTGCACACAGCAGAATCTCTAAAAACAGGATTTGAAAGAAATCTCAAATTATTCTCTACGGCAATAAATAAAATTACGTCGAGTCTTCATTTCGTAGTGAAAATACGAAATATGAAATCATAGTCTTGAAATTTTCGTTATCAAAATCTACATAGTCAAAAAAAAAAAAAAAAAAAA